AAACGACAAAACTGTGCTTTACCATGAAAAAGGCTGAATTAACGGCTCTTTTGTGCAGCATTTTCGTCTTTGCACTGTAGGTAGTGTCTCCATTGAGTAACGAGAAGATGCTATAATTGAACCATTTTTGTTTGATTTTTGCAACAATACTTAAACTATTTCTACAAACTTTTAAATTATTTTAAATTTTTTCAAACTTTTAAAATTTTGAATTATTTACATAATAATTTGGAAATCTGCCCTGGCCTGGTTTTGTATGGAGGGACTGAGTCTGGCCCTGGCCTGGCTCGGAATAATTGAGTTAAAAGCAGCCCTGGTTGTTATCATTTTACGTCTTTTAGGAAATGTCCATAAAACGAATTTGTGGTTATGTTCAGGCAACCCTTTAGTTCGGACGAGTTCTTTGACAATCTTTTGATTGAAATGGGCCTTTTTTCACGTTTAAATCTAAACACCTATTTTCATTTTCTGATCCTGCTGTAAACTGTCATTTTCTAGACTTGACTTTTCTATTCTACATATGTATATGTTACGTCCGATTTCAGTCTAGACGTCAGGATCTGATCCGAAATCCGAATCCGAAACAGTCATGCATAAAAGTCTTGATCGGTCCCTTCTAAAAAATTTCATGCTTAAATTTTTTTATCAAAGTTTCAAAATAACTTTTGCCTATTTGGGATGCTCTTTTGCAGGGGACTTTTGTGGCTTTTGTGTATGACTGTAGTTGAAAAATTATAAAAAATTCGACGAATCCAGCGGAATCAATTAGTATTTATCTTGTGTGTGGTCGGATTCGGACGTCCGAAGTCGAACACAAGACAATCAATGGCCGGATTCGGACTCAACACACACCCTATTTTTGTTATTTAATTAAAAAAATTTATAATTATCTTCTCCATAAAGATTCCCTATGAAAAACGATTCTTCCAGAAGTGAGAGATTGTACTCGAGAATCAAACCAACCCGTATATAGAAAAAGCGATCAGAACAAGAGCAGAAAAATAGCAAAGACAGATACAGGAACAAGCGGCAAGCAAAAAAGGCGAGAAAATGTCGGTGATAAAAAGATTTGGATAAAGAAGGTCACTTTGCCCCTGAATAGTGTGTTTTTGTTATAAATGCTTACAGTAAGATAGGTAATCAAACTTAAAATGACTCAATATGAAAATATGGTATTAAAATAAAAATTTAAATGCTATTAAAATATGCTTTATAAAAAGCATTTTTCTCAAGAAATAATGTATCGTTCAAATTGACCAATTTCTACAGATTTCGTAACATTTAAATGAAGATCCAGAGAGCTAATCTTTCGCTCATTGAATTGAACTAACGGTTTAAAAAACAGTTTTAATTTTATCGTTAGATTTATTTAAGTTTAATGCAATGAAACTAAATTGGACTGTCATTTGTTAAACTTACTGGATATTTCAAGGCAACAACATCTTTCGGGAGATTTGCCTTGTAAAGAAAAATCAGACCAGCGGGAGCAAACACGTAAAGTGAAATAAAAAGGACATAGATACGCTTTTTACTAATCGTGTAGCTTCTATAAAATCTGATAAATTAATTTTCAATATACCATACTTCTTCTCTTAGAAGACCCGGGTTTTCGCTTTTTAATCTTCGAAAATTTTTTAGACCCAAAAATAGAGAAGGGTTCTTAAAAGATTTTATTTTTTCTAGCTGACTTTTGACCTTTCAAACTTTTGTTTGATAAGAAAGCATTCTCGGTTCTTTTCATCAGAGAATGAATTTAAAATGAAATTTTAAAAAAACCGGCCGACCTTGAATTTTAGTTATATATCTAAATTTTGGCTTCGATTATTTTCGCTGGTAAATCGTTTTTTAGAAAAAATTTCCGCTCATTTTTTAGAAAGGACATTTTGAAAGCGATCTTTGGTCCAAAACCACCATTTTCGCCAGGCGATGTGATGTTAATAATTAATAAAAATTCGTAAAACGATTATGCTAAATATCTGATATTAAATCAATGACTTATTAGGTCATTAATTTGGCCTAGGAATGGGATTTATACATGAGTCTTTCTGATCAGTCATATCAAAGGTGACTCTCCGAGAGATATGAAAACATAGAACTTTCTATTATATAGGAGCACTTACGGTATGTGTCATTTTTAACTAACCCGACTTTCCCAGCACTCAACAAAGTATATCGAGAAAAGAGAAAAACACTCGCGGTAGTAGCGAGCAAATACCAATTAAACACCCAGATAGGCTAAATTTTCTGTGCTTTTAGTGTTTATTTCTTTTACAGTAAAAACTCGTTAGTAGAAAACCTTTTAGTAAATAGGTTTTCTAGTTAATTTCATAAAAAACATTCAATTTAACCTTGATAGTAAATAGATTTTTCGATTTTTCGGTTATTTACTAACGAGGTTTGACTCTACATACTAAAAAGAAGCTAGTAGGAATTCCCAGCTCGATCGCAAACCCATGGAAATAAAAAGCTATATATGGTAGAAGACTGCCGACCTCCGAAACAGCGATTTCGATTCCTTGCACGAGGAGGGCTGTCTAGAAATGAACCCCATTCAGAATTATTCGTTTGGGAAATGATTTTTCTTGGATTTGCTGACTTACTATTGGCTTGTGATAACAAAATTTTAAATCTGAATTGGCTCCGTTTTGGATAGTAAAAAGCTTAAACTTAATATGTTAAAAGAGTTTATTTTTAATTAAATGGTAAAAACTTTTCTGCTTTTTGCTTAAGGCTGGGTTTTAAACTAACCTCCCCGAGAATAAGATAAAAGAGTTGGGATCTTGGGTAATTTCTCTTCTGTTTACGAATCAAAGTATGTAGGACAAGAATGTAGAGAACGATAGAAACCCCGGCCAATGCATAATACCAAATCTTTTCGGCCAACGATCGATTGGGTAACGTTCTGTAAAGGGCTTTTGAATAAAATAATTTCCATTATAAAAATCTCTACCCCATTTGCAAGCAGGTGTTTGAACTCGTTTGACTCGACTTCAGCAAATTTTTTTTAATGACGAGTAATTTTTACGGAACTTGATTCGAGCCGGTGTTTGCATGATTAAGTTCCGTAAAAATTTGTAATCATTAAAAAAATTTGCTGAAATCGAGTCAAACGAGTTGAAACACCTGCTTGCAAATGGGGTGGAGATTTTCATAATGGAAATTGTTTTATTCAAAAGCCCTTTACAGAATGTTACCCAATCGATCGTTGGCCGAAGAATACAAACAAGAAATGGAAGTCATTATACAAAAAGCTTCTGGAGCAATGGACAATGTTGGTGAACTTGACAATGAACTCTAGTAGTGCTGCACGCAAATTTGCATTTATGCAAAGTTTACTACCATTTGTGGGTATTTAGTAGCCCGCTTCTTTACTGGTTCAATAAATGTGTTCCAGCTTGCTGGCTAAACATCTTTCACTTTCCGACATCAATATTTCAAAGCTATTTTCTCATCATTCCTTTTCAGTGTTGATTCTTTCTAAGTTTTGTTGAGAGATTAAAAAATTTGCGTTTTAGAAACTCTTTTAACTCTTATGGCAATAAATTTCCTTATTATCAAACCTCAAACTAAGAAAGAAATTCATCACGTACAATTTTAGTATTCTATGATTTTTAGACCATCTCGTGGACCATGTTTGAAAAAAATAATAATTTTTTTCAGACATGGTCTTCGATGGGAAATCGCTTGACGGGCTTGAGGAGTTTCGAGCTTGCCGAGAGAAATGATGAACGCGAGGAATTCTTCGAGGAGGCGAACTCGATCAACGATGATGCTGAGGAGCTTTAAAACAAATCGGATGCACCGATTGCAAAGAAGATGCGATGTTTTGATGTTGAAACAAAGGTGAAAGATCGATTCGGGAAAAGATTCGAGATAAGGATAAAAGACAAAAGATAAATCAGCTACGATATGGAAATTTGGCATTGCTCGACAAGACAGCGCGACAAAAGGGTAAAGGATAAAAAGAATTGGCGGCAGTGAACGGAATCTCAATGACTTGGATCTCGATAAGAAACTGGCCGGGTGAATCCGTGAAGAGCGAAGGAAACATGGATCACACGCTCGATGGTCCAAGCACAAGCACACGTGATGTGAAAGGGGATGATGTTTTTACTGCATCAAATGGATGGCTAGAAAAGTTTAGATCCCGACACTCGCCAACTCGCCGCTCGACAACAGTTTGCCAAAAAGCCCGAAAAGAGTACGTCAATTCGCTGGTCGACTACATTCTCTACATGGCGAAGATGCGAAAAGAGAAACGAGAGCAACGCTTGACTTTTAAATATCACGAGTTTTTTAGAAATGCTTTATTCAGAGTATCGACGTCTCCATCTGTTGTTTGTTATTTTTTGGTCGTCGATCTAACAGGGGAACCCTTTGAAGTTACACTTGAGGAACGATCTGATTCCGAGGTGGTAACACCCCCTGGTTAAGGCTGGTTAAGAACACTTAAAAATCAACTTTTATATCTTAATAAAGAAGCAAAAAAGTTTTGCCAGCGAGAGGATTCGATCCAGGGGGGAGAAAAGAGAAATTCGAGTTCAGCTAGTTAACACACTACCCACTAGGCCACCGAAGCAAGCCGATGGCCTGGCGTCAAGGCTTTAAGTAGGCTAGCTTGCTGTTTGGTGAAAGTGACCGAAACTTTAAAGGCTTATATCTCGAAAATGGCTTATGATAGGTAGGATTTGAAAGCAGTTTCGGGATTCCCTTAACCAGGGGGTGTTTGCACTTCGGAATCACGTCGCTCCTCAAATGTAACTTCAAAGGGTTCCTCTGTAAGCTAAGAAAGTAGCGAGCTAAGTATCTTGTCTTGTATTTTATGCTATTTAAAAATAAAATTTCAAAATTTTTAATTTACTTTGCACAATATTTTATAAAAGTTCTATCATGCATCAATAAGACGAAGAACATCAATAAAAGTGTACAGTGTTTAAGTGAAGAGAAAGCAGATGAGTTTAAAATTTATTTTTATGTACACATGGTAATTGATCATTTTAATGGTGTCCATGATGGTCCGAATGACCAGAATAATGGCCTGAATTGTGATCTGAATGGCCTCCGAAATAGCCTTGATGATGACCATTCGATGGATAGACTGGTTGATGATGAGATCCGTTGTGACCGTAACCTGGAATCATTTGATTGCCTAGTCAACTAGTCTTTTAGTCTTTTAGTGTACTTTATGTTATTCTACTAGTTTGATTCTAAAAGGCAAGCCAAAAAAGAATCAAAGTAGCTTTAAATTAGGTTTAGGATAAATTTTGGTCAAGTAATCAAAGATTGACTAGCAAAGATGACAGAAAACCAACTCATATTAGAATGGCTGTCATGCACATAGCCATGACCAGTTGAATATCCGTGATTCACAGCCGATCCATGATGGCCATTTCCATGCCCGGATTGATGATGTTCATAGCCTCCATGGCCGCCTTCATAATGTCCTCCGTGTCCTCCGTGTCCGTGCTTAAAAAGTTGAGCTTGAAAAGATGAATATTTCGATTTTTAGACCTTTTGCAGATTTGGTCAATTAAAACCTTTTTTTCTAAATAATTTACTGTGCAATAATGTACAATCTGTTTAACTAATGGTTCAAACTATTATATTTAAGTTAGAAATGCCTATTCCAAAAGACCTATTGCCTATTTCTATTTCAAATGACTTACCATTTTTTGAAATAGAAAATAAAGCTGAAATCAATAAAATTGAAAGTTGAACGTCTCCATTTTTGCTTGAAAGCACCTCGCTTTTATACCCACAGCTCTATTCAAAAAAGAAAAAAAAGCCGCTGAGCAAATAAATACTATGACACATCACCCTTTCTTATCTTTTCATCACAATGCGGGCGTTTCAAAACGATCAAATGACCAACGCCATATTTTTGTCATGAAAATACGCAATATCTGAATAAGAGTTCGACCCTAGAATGACTTTTCACAGAGGAATCTGTAGCCTTCATAGACTTTGAACTTTTTTCATGTTAGTCAAACGATTAACTACAATATTACACCATTGATTGACAACATTTGAGCCCTTTCGAGCATCGGTTGCACCAAGAATATGCACGCGATGAGAAAAAGGATTCAAAAGTTACTGCTACTATCTAACAACTGGAAATCAGTTAGTGAACTCATGGTACTGCTACAATAACTTCGCAGCATGTTGAATCTTAGGTTGACAACCATGAAATGTCCGTTTTAAGCAAACTTTATTAATAATTTATTTTCAACGTAAAACGCAATCAATCCAAAATATATTCACCATTATTGTCAATGGCTTTTCTCCATCTTTGCTTTAAATCTCGGAGTCCCTTGTCGAAGAAAGCTACGAGTTGCGAGGCGGCTGCGAGTCGAAATATTGCGTCACCCAAATTTTGGTCTCATCGAGGTTCTTAAACTTTTTGTCGGTCAATTGATGTTGCATGGAACGGAACAAATGGAAATCTGATGGAGCTAGGTTCGGGCTGTATGGCAGATTTGGGAGAGACACCCAGCCCACTCCGGAAGAAAAAGTAGATTTCCGGAGAGAGGATTGAACCCTAGACCTTTTGCTTTCTGGGCAATTGCTCTAACCACCGAGCTATCCGGTACCTTAACTTGCCAAGAGAAAGAAGGAAAGAAGAAAGAAAGAGAAGGAAATACCCAGGTTTAAGTGAAGTGAAGTTAAAGTGCAGAAAGGTTAAGTCAATATTATTTTTTAAAGGCTATTCGAAGCTAGTTAAGTAAATGCTCTTTCTAACCTCTTTCTCATCACAAACAGATCAGATTTATCAAAATTCGCTCCCAAACTAGCTACAACTGAGTATTGCTTATTGTTAGACAAATAGATGTATTTCTAATGTATTTGTATCATTTTGGATCTCAATACAAATGATTTTTGACTTACTTTAAGTGCCTGCAAGAAACAGCAGTAAAAACAAATCGAAATGCACATTTATACCTTTTATTTGCCCTTTTTGCTTTTATAAAACGAAAATCCCCATAAAACTTTATATTTTTGGGATTTTCAAACAATAATGTGTCGCCATTCTTAAAATTCTAAACACTTTGAAGGTAGATAAAAAAACTGAAAACTGTTTACTGTTTACTGCTGACTTTGAGGGTTATTTAGATTGTTCTAATAATAAAAGATATTCTTTGATAGGATTCATAAGAACATGTCAATGTTTTTTTTCACTTACTTTAAATTTATTGAAAACTGAGGGTTTAATTACGGTAGTCTAACTGAAATAAGTACACAGGAGAAATGTTTTTGAGAGAAAAAGACTCTAGTTGAGTCTGTTAGACTCAAAAGTTCAAAGAAAACTTTCAAAGAAGAAAGCTTTTGAACATTAAAAGTTTATAAAAAATGGAATATGTCTTGTTTGTCTTCAAAATTCACGTAATTAAACGATTTATCATGTTTATGAAAAAATGTGATAAATAAAACTAAAAATTAAACCAGAAATCAACAAATATTACTGTTTTGTAGTTTTACTATGTGCGGAAAGAGTTGAAACTTGTGTTACTCTTTGATCACTTCGAGAAGGAAGGTGGAAGAGAATGGTGATAAGACTGAACACACTTGATTACTCTTATGATGAGTTGACATCTGTTTACTCATTGACTACTACCAAAAACCTCTTCCTACAAAAAATGGAGTTAGTATTATGCTAAAAAGCGAGGTTAACACCCCGTAAAAATTCTAAAAGAAGAATATGGCCTTCTAATTTCCAAACCCCTAAAATTGGCCGATCAAAAAAGTAGATAAAGGTCCCCCACATGAACCAAAAAATTAAAAATTCTTAAAAACTATTTTAAACGATGGCTCTTGGTATAAAACGTACGAAAAACATGTTTAAAAGTCAAATTATTTTTTTACCCGGACCCACATCCGCGCAAAATAAGTCAAAAAACGTTCTCTATCAGAATTTCACGTTAGAGTATCCATTCGACGCAGAAAATTTTGCTGAATCGAATGGTGAAGAAATTATTGAAATCCGACTGACTCGAGTTTTTAAAATCGCATTTTATCGAAAAATCGCACTTTTACAAGCAACTCGCTCGTAGCGACCAACTTTCGGCGGCTCGTTTTCAGCGTGGTCAAAAGATTGCGCCCTCAAAACCGATAACTGTGTGGACGTGTACAAAGATCATTTTGATACCAATTTTGATACGCTATGTGGTCCGGACTCCATATCCATAGCGAATCTTCTAAAAATCCATGTGGTCCCCACATAAAATTTTTTTGAAAAAATATTTTTCATTTTTTCAAAAATCATGTTTTCAATTTTACTGCTTAGGTAAAAATACTTCTATCTGGACCTAAATCTACTATTCTACCTAAAAGAAGTTTCAAAAGTCACGATTTCAGGGGGTCATCGGGGGTGGTTTTCTATTAGAAACTGATCTTCTATTAGAGACTAGGCTTCTATTAGAACTTCTACAGTAGTCTTGCAAACCTCAGCACACAACGTCCGAGAAACGGCTCGCCACGTGTGAAAAAGAAGCGCCAATAGTCAACAAAAATAGGCTTGACGAAGATGTGAATGATGTCATCCCACATCCAAATTGATCCTGTGATAAGCATCTGAAAGTAAATGATTGTTTACTGGTTTTGTTGAGGTTATGTTTTTAAAATTCACAGAGCTCTGTTCTCTGTAAACTGTTAAGTCAATCTTGAGTTTTCAAAACATTTGAAACAAGCCATCTTTTTTAAATTACCATTATTAGCAGACGGATATCGGCTCGTCGTCGTTTATTTGAGATGCCAACCTGAAAATGAGCTTTCACCGGAATTTGGCTTCCTTCTTACCGCGAGCCGAATCTTAACAACCACAATCATATCCAAAACAAGTGCCAAAACAGTGAACCCAAAAACAATATAATCAATGGTGTAGCTAATATAATTGAAGAAGGGACTGATCGAGTAAAAGCCTTTCATAAACCAGTCAGCTGGTGAGAAAAACGGGCCAGCATAGCATATCGTTTCCGCATCACTTTTCACTTTAAATAGCTTTTTCAGCTTTTTTTTCTACTTTCAAACACATACAGTCTCCGATTCCAAGGAAATAGTAGACATTCGGGATGATGAAACAGCCGATTGTATAAGGAATCAATAGAATCTCGGCTTGCTTATAATAAGATCCGATGAAAAATACGGCAAATATACTATAAAAAAAAGCATTATTTCTGGCTTTTTGCTTTTGAATTATGTAAACTTGAGATCAAAATAAAACGGACAATGTTAAATGGGCATAATATAAGTACCGATTCAGGGAGAGACAGTGAAGAAAGAGCTGCATTGCATAAAAGATTCCCGTCGCTATGGAAGAAACGATTCGATTGATCAAAATGCCCGGGATTGTGCCCGTTTCGCTGACACAATGCCAACTGAAAACAGCTTTAACTAGTAAGCTTACAATCAAACGAAATTAACTGAAATTAGAAATAGAATAGCTGATTAGTTGGCTCTTTTCTAATAACACTGTTAAGGCTCTTACTCGCAAACACATGTCCCAAAGTAGTAATGGATAAAAGCCTCAAGTAAACGACAAAAAACGTCGATTAGTAGAATGAATTTGACACCCCGAGAGAGATTTGAATTGTTATAAAGAATCCTGGCACAGACTGAATGAAGAATTAGGCCGACGGTACCAAACTAAATAGGAGTCAATTTCGGTAAAAAGTTAACGGTTACCGTGAAAAATGAAGCAATCACCCATGAGCGAATGGCTTCCGTTCTTGGAGAGGACAAGTGGATGGGCAAACCGCTCAATGCAAATCCAGCGCCGGCCGCATTCACTGTCAAAAGGGCACCGGGCTAAAGTTAGATTTGCTTGTGGTGCTTACCGTAAATACTGTAATAGTACCCCACCCCCATCATGACGGTGCGGAGTGTTGCGTAGTCTAGCTTTGAACTAGTTTTTCTCGACACTGGTTTATGCTACAATGTGCGCTTAGGTATCAAAAAATAGCCCTGAATTTCAGCTATTTCTTTATACCACAGACGCATTTTTTGAAAGTACGAGCGCTTTGAAAAAAATGAAATATTAAAAAACTTTTGCGACTACGCGACTGTACGAGGGGGATTGGGTACTATTACAGTATTTACGGTATGTGCTTTACTTTAGCAAATATGTAGTATGTAAGATCGGAACTCTACTTGTACGTATGCTATGAGCGCTCTAGGAATTACAAGAACAAAAGGTGACCAGGTCAAAAGGCCAACCAACTGAGCTAACTGGTTGAAAACTTGTTGGTGTTCAGTCTAGTAGTTGTCTAACAAGTGAAAACTAACAGCGATTTGTCCTCAAGAGACATGGGAAAATTCCAACCCGAACCTAATTCCACCTTCGTTTTCTCGGTCGTTACTTGGCCGATCATCCTGAAGTTTTTACTACAAGATGGAAGTGTCGATTTCTATCTGTTGACAAAATCTCAGAGCAATCAGCCAAGAAAACAAAAATGGAAATGGGTTCGGGTTGGAATTTTCCCATGTCTTCAATAATGTCTTTAATGTCTAGTCTTCAATAATAGCATATGGAGTCATATTCTGGCTCTAATTTGAAATCGTCTCCATTAGTTCTAACAATGCCAGAGTTATCATACTAGTTATGGGATTAATGGACAATAAAAAGCTTATTGCTTTATTGAAAGAGTTTAGTGTTCAGAATAAAGGCTAACATTTT